CACAAGTCACTAATTTCCCTTCGAAAAAAACCAACCCATCTGTATGTTCATTAGAGTCAAAAAGCTGAAATCTTAACTGGAAATTTATGATTTTACCTAATCTTACCCAACATAAAAGCTACTCTGTGAAGTTCGTGAGGGATTCGATTTTACAAATAGAAGATATGAGGATTGAAACAATTTGTGCTCACGTACAGATGGAAGTTATTATGAACTCTCGGAATTAACACACATTGTTTTGACTTCGGAATGTAACAGCAAAGCAAGTTTCTCCAAATAAATGCTCTACCAAGCTAGCCCTGAGCTGCTTCTAATTCCAGCTGAATTCTCCTGAGTGCAAGATGTGTTTTTCATTGTTATTATCCTGCTGTTTTACAAAACAGAACCACTTTATCTCTAGAAGAGCTTTTATTTCAGTAATTTTACTTAATATCAACCCAGTCTCACTTCTTCCCCACTCACGTTTCTCCTCCTTGCCAGAACTCCAGGTGATTGTGAAAAGAAAAAAAAAATAAATCTGTGAAACCAGGGGAGCTCATACAAATCATAGAATGGTTTGGATTGGAAGGGGCCTTAAAGATCATCTAGTTCCAATCCCCTGCCCTGGGCGATCCTTTCAAGTATTTCTTTAAGGTGATACAAGTTTTTCTGGGCTCTTTGTTTCTAACCCACCAGTGATCAAGACTTGCATGAATCACAGAATCATAGAATGGTTAGAGTTGGAAGGGACCTCAAAGATCATTGAGTTTCAACTCCTTGCCACGGGCAGGGACACCTCCCACCAGACCAGGTTGCTCAAAGCCCCATCCAGCCTGGCCTTGACCCCCCCTCCAGGGATGGGGCAGCCACAGCTTCTCTGGGCAACCAAGCCAGTGTCTCACCACCCTCAGAGGAAAGAATTTCTTCCCCAGATCTCATCTCAATCTCCCCTCTTTCAGCGTAAAATTATTTGAGTAACGTGATGGAGACCCAAGCTCTTCTCTCAACCCTCCAATAGAGTCAGTACCGTTCCTCCTTGGCACCTCCAACCTTCCCACAGCAGCCAGGGGGAATTAAGCAACCAATCGGCATTAATTAACCACAGAATAATTTGCAGGACTGGTTCTCTGAATTAAGGCCAACACCTTTGGGCCTTTTTAAGGGCCCTCAGAGGTTTTGATGGTCTAGAGATAAGAAGCAGCTGCTCATTCTCCATCCAAACTTGATTATTACCACACATTTACATGAACTAAGCGTATCTGGAAGCTTCTCTCAAAGGAGTCTTAAGATCTTCTAAAAGCTACTTAAATTGAACAGTTCCAGCCTCCCAAGGAACACACAAAGGATTCAAACAATCTCAGGTTTTTCGATCAAGTCAAACCCCAAAGCTACTTAAATTGAACAGTTCCAGCCTCCCAAGGAACACAATCTCAGGTTTTTCGATCAAGTCAACCCCTGAGTACAGAAGTTTTGTGATGCATTTCTGCACGTTATCTACCTGTTCCGCTTTCACAATGGAATTTCCCCTTGGCAGAACCATAAAAAGCTGCAATATTTGACCGAGGACATCAAAACAAAGGTGACTACAACAGTTTATATGGACTTCAGTAACACTTTCCTGATTAAATAAATAGCAGAAGCCCCCCAAAAATTCCGATTTAATTTTATTACGTTTTCCTATTCAACAGCATACAATCTCAAGCATTAACATGTGAACCACTGGTGTTGCACAAACCACTTCAAAGTTTGGTCATCAACTACTTGAGCTTGTACCAGCACCAGTGACCCCACGTGAATTTGGAAACTTCTTTATATAAATAAGTACTTAAATCTTAATTTAGTTTTATGAGTTTAAACACGTGCCAGTGATTTCAGAAACCGACTGCAAGGACTTGGAAAGCAACACGGGTGAGTGACCATGTGTTCAACTGTTCATGGTCCTTTAGAAATAGGACAAGAACAAAATCAGAACAACAAAATCAGGTCCAACAGTGGTAACAACTCAGAGATGACAGGTCAAAGAGGAAACCAGAAAAACAAGTGAAGTGGTGACAGTTCTTATAAAAAAAATACTACAAGTGACAAGTAACTCAGATGACAAGAACTGGAAAGACTCAATGGGCCCAACGAAGAGTTCATACTCTTAATCAAGAAAGAAGCCCAGAGCACTTGCATCAAACAGCTAAACGGCAAACCAGCCTAAGAAAGAAGCCCAGAGCACTTGCATCAAACAACTGAACGGCAAACCAGCCTGGAGAAGAGAAGGCTCTAGGGAGACCTTATAGCAGCCTTCCAGTACCTAAAGGGGGCCTACAGGAGAGATGGGGAGGGACTCTTTGCCAGGGAGGGGAGCCACACCTAAAGGAGGCCTACAGGAGAGATGGGGATGTGATTCTGTGACTCTTTGTCAAGGAGGGGAGCCACAGAATCATAGAATCATAAGGGGTTGGAAGGGACCTCTGGAGATCATCCATAAGATGAGGGATAATGGTTTTAAACTGAAATAAGGAGATTTAGATGAGGTCTCAGGAAGAAATTCTTTGCTGTGAGGGTGGTGGGACACTGGCCCAAGTTGCCCAGAGAAGCTGTGGCTGCCCCATCCCTGGATGGGTTCAAGGCCAGGTTGGATGGGACTTTGAGCAACCTGGTCTGGTGGGAGGTGTCCCTACCCAGGGCAGGGGGTTAGACCTGGATGATCTTTAAGGTCCCTCCCAACCCCAACCATTCTATGATTCTATGAAACTCCAGAATAAGAGCAAAACCATGAAAGTGTGAAAAGCAAAGCGAGCAGCATCACGACTCCCAGGTTACACAATGAACTAATGTATTTACAGAAGCAGAGATTAAGGAAAGCATTGATTTGATAGTAATGGAGAGAGAAAGCTTCCAAAGCATTTGAAGGAAAGAGTATTTAATCCCTTTCTCTCACTAGTCTTCCCTCTGAAAGTCAAGTGTGAACAGCTGGCTGCCATTATTAATACCAGCAACAAAGAGTCACAGTCTAAGTTATATTAACAGCTTGGTTAAGTGAATTTCCAAGATTAACAGGGCTTGATTAACTTCATCTTAAACTATTTTAGCCTTTAAGTAATTTCAGAGCCATTGGAGGTTATCTTCCAAAATACACTAAGCACGGGCAAGATACCAGAAGTCTGGAAAATGGTAAATGCAATCCAAGCTTAAAAAACAAGCAACACCAAAAGACCCAGAAGCTTTACTTCAATTTGGGGTAGGGAATGGGGAAAGAGTGGTGGAAGAGAGAACTGGAAAAACAAACCAATCAACTAGAGAACCAAGCACAAAAAAAGATCAGATTTTTCAAGAATAAACTGTCAGATCAATCTAATCTCAAGCCATACAAAGAGGTCAGAAACTGAAATGTCCTATTTCTTTTGGAATTTAAATAAATCTCTTGGCACTTTATGGTGTAATACGCTCGCAAGCGTGCTGGGGAAATGGCATATTGATGAAGTATGAATGAATAGAGAGCTGGTAAGGACTCTTTGGGTGTAGTTAAACAACAGTTCACTGCTGTAAATGGAAGTGCTAGTGAAGTGGGGCTCCACCTGGGTCTAGGCTTTACCCCAGTTCAAGTCAATATTTTAATTAGATGCAGAATAAACTCACGTGCAGATAGCACGGAAATGAGACTGAGTTCTCAGCCCACCCTTCCCCATCTTCTAGAGTTTTGTCACCAAATCAGAGACACGATTAGGAAGAAAAAGGAGCATCTGAAGTACATCATGTAAAACATGAATTAAATGAGTGACCTGCACAGATTCAGCATGGACTATTTTATTGCTGTGCAGAAGAGACCTGAGGCTGCAGGTTGTGCTGGATCCCAAAATTCGTGGTGTTAGGATGTTTAGAGTACAAAGCTATCAGAGTATAATGAACTGAACAAAAATGACAAGACCTGTGAAGCGTTTCTCCCCTCCTACACACTCTTTTGAAGGGAAAAACTTCACAGCATATCCAGCTTTGGGCACTGCTCTTCAAGAAAGATGAGGATTCAGATGGAGAATAGGAGACAAGAATGTTCAGAAGTTGAGACATGACCCATGAAATATCACTTTAGAGAGAAGAATTTGCATTCTTCTCTTTAATGCATTAATTCAATGCTTTAATTCAGTGCATTAAAGTTTACAAATAGGAAAAGAAATAAATGAACAGATTATTAGAAGAGATTATGTGGTTAAATAGAAGGAAGACAGATTTGGATTAGATGTTAGAAAATACTTTAACGATCAGAACAGCCAACAACTGGAAGAGACTACTGAGATCACAGGCTTTTCCTTCAGGGAAGGTTAAACAAACATCTACCAGGGATGGTGTGAGGGCAGCTGACTCTGCCCAAGGATTAAGCAACAGCCTACATGGTCTCCCCAGGTCCCTTTCACATCAGCTTTTTGAACATTTTCTGAATTCCATAGCAAATGAGTCCACAGCAGGTATTAGTATCATCTCAAACACAAGTTTGTAAGCTCTCGTGCATTTGCCAAAGTAAAGGATGATTTTTAAAATACATTAAGAGCAAGGAAGAAAGGATTAGAGGACATTTTTTTTAAATATAAAGTCATGTATTAGCAAGACTTAAGGCTTTCTTATTGTGAGTATAGGAGTACAATATGACTTAAAGTAATACTACAGCAAAATTAAAGCAGCAATGAGAGTGACACGAATGGATCTTCAAGTATGACAGAATAAAATAAAATAAAACCACCAGAAAACATTTACAATTTTCAAAACAGGTTGTACAGACTCATAGGATTTCTCCAAAAAGGAGATAATAATTCATTATTAACAGGCAAGTCCTTCTCCAAGCACCACCAGAGAAAGTCTTGAGCACCAAGCAGTAAGGCAAGTGCAGGCAATGGTTTGAGGAACATCTCCTCTATCTCACAGATGTTTGCCACAGAAAACAGCATCACGAGGCAGTAAATGCCCAACTCATGACATGCTGAGACTAAGCAGATTGTAGGTATTCATTAAAAAAATAATAATAATCTTAGTGTACCAACCTGTGCTATATTTTTGTTGAGAAGATATACTCCATATTCAAACTGCAGCTTCTCCCCTCCTTTGGGGTATAAAGGAAATCTGATTGGAAAGAAAGAAAAAAAAAAAAGGCATTTAAGGTGAAATTATTCAGATGCTTAAGTAAATTTTAAAAAGCCACAGACGCCTTTTCTGAGAAGGTGAAGATTTAAAAAGCATCCCTCGCTGACTTCTCCCAGAAATCCCCTCCACAGGATGTACTGAGGAACCCCCTGCAACTCCAGTCAACCAGCCTTTTAAAAACTGACATCAAAATTCAGTTAATTACATTTTCTAAAAGTATTTGGGCTTTTTGAAAGTTTGTAAATGTTTTATGACTCTCCCAGGGCTGCAACACCCCCCACACTCAGAGAAGTGTGTTTTAAGAACCAGGCAGTGTAACACCAGACCCCACCATACCCCTCTGTGTTCAGCTGTTCCCGTTTGGTTGGCTCTTGCCAAATAGAAATAATCTTCTAAGAAAGGTGTTCTCATTTAATTTGTATTTTGTGATTGAAAGAGCACAAATCTCTTCGCGCACAGGAGATGGCTTAGAGAATCCAAGTGATTCACCTCCTTTCAACAAGCTTCACACCAAAGGCTCAACTCGGTTATAGCACAAATGCCAGACACCAGAACAGGTTAGGGGTGGACCTGCTGGAGGAGAAGGATCTGGGGGTCTTTGTTTGTAAATGTTTTATGACTCTCCCAGGGCTGCAACACCCCCCACACTCAGAGAAGTGTGTTTTAAGAACCAGGCAGTGTAACACCAGACCCCACCATACCCCTCTGTGTTCAGCTGTTCCCGTTTGGTTGGCTCTTGCCAAATAGAAATAATCTTCTAAGAAAGGTGTTCTTAAGAACCAGGCAGTGTAACACCAGACCCCACCGTAGCCCTCTGCATTCAGCTGTTCCCGTTTGGTCGGCTCTTGAAATAATAGAAATAATCTTTTAAGAAAGGTGTTTTCATTTAATTTGTATTTTGTGATTGAAAGAGCACAAATCTCTTCGCGCACAGGAGATGGCTTAGAGAATCCAAGTGATTCACCTCCTTTCAACAAGCTTCACACCAAAGGCTCAACTCGGTTATAGCACAAATGCCAGACACCAGAACAGGTTAGGGGTGGACCTGCTGGAGGAGAAGGATCTGGGGGTCTTTGTGGATAGTAAACTATCCATGAGCCAGCAATGTGCCCTTGTGGCCAAGATGGCCCATGGAATCCTGGGCTGCATAGGGAAGAGTGTGGCCAGCAGGTTAAGGGAAGTCATTCTCCCCCTCTACTCTGCACTGGGGAGGCCACAACTGGAATCCTGTGTCCAGTTCTGGGCTCCCCAGTTCAAGAGGGACAGGGAACTACTGGAGAGAGTCCAGCGTAGGGCTACAAAGATGATTCAAGGATTGGAGCATCTCCCTGATGAGGAAAGGCTGAGAGAGCTGGAGCTCTTTAGCCTGGAGAAGAGAAGGCTGAGGAGAGACCTTATTAATGCTTGTAAGTACCTAAAGGGTGGGTTGAAGGAGGATGGAGTTGGACTCTTTTCAGTGGTTCCCAGTGACAGGATGAGGGGCAACGGGCACAAGCTGGAACATGGGAAGTTCCATTCAAGTACAAGGAAGAACTTCTTTCAGGTGAGGGTGGCAGAGCCCTGGAAGAGGCTGCCCAGGGAGGGTGTGGAGTCCCCTTCTCTGGAGATCTTCAAGACCCACCTGGATGCCATCTTGAGTGATGTGCTCTGGGCAACCCTGCTCTAGTTGGACTAGATGGTCTCCAGAGGTCCCTTCCAACTCTGACAATTCTGTGATTCCATGATCATAGGTCACTACAGTCCTTGCAAATATTCTATTTCTACTGTTTATTTCTCCTATTTAATAAAGCACTTTTCACAGTTTTAAATACCCAGATGTAGAAAATAGCTTATAAGAAAGTAGCACAGTTTATTTTTCTCTTAACTGCTGCGTGGGATCAGAGAACTAAAATTCAATCCCTAAAGTATTGAAACTGAGAGTCTACATTAACAAATATAATTTCATGTATCATGAATTTTTGCTTAAGTCAAGCAGTTCCCATAAACAGATTTAATATTTGTACTCTGCATTCCTTCGGTTTGTTCTTTTGACTCTTCCTCGCCACCAGGTCACCACGGTCAACACCATAATCTCAGGACAAGCTCAAATTTACGTTTATGGAAACTACACCATGAAAGAAGCTTTTGCATATTTTTTTTTTTTTTTTTCAAGGACCGTACGTTCCATAGCCCCTCGTCAAGACACCGAGCAAATTATCTGCACAAAACCCACCATTACATCAGAAACCAAAGTCTCCTTCAAATATAAGATAACAAAGGCAGGAGATCAGTATCTCCCAGAAACAACACACGTTCTAGAGGGGCGATTACGCAAAGTGGATTTTATCATCAATCAGCCCGGCGGTAAAGTACATTTGCAACTTTTAAGGAGAATTATATAGAGCCATTAAAGCTAAAGGTTAACAGGTCAGGCTCACAGCAGCTCAAATATTAAGACGTCAGCTTGGAGTTTTATGCCACTTTCAAACTCACCGGGTCACTTTAAGTTGAGGAATATAAAAAATCGCCGAGAATAGTATATATCTAGCTCACCTTGCTTAATAGATCTATAAATCCAACTAGTTCCCCGTGAGAGAAAATAAACCCTTTCGAAATGAACACACGCAACAACAATTCCACTTTTGGAAGCGTTATCGTTACGTGTAAAATACAAATCAAAAGGACTTCATTTCAATATCTGCAACTACGCCACCCGAACAGAGCGGAATGTAGATTTAAAGGATACCCTTTACAATTAACAGTATAAAACTAACTCAAGCCTGACAATAAAAGCACCATTAGGAACACAAGCTGCATTTCACTAGGAGATAGTATTTCATTAACTCACCAGTAATGGGAACCATGTATTCTATTATTAGACACAGAGCTCATCGATACACGCAGTATAAAAAAAAGAGGATAAAAACCTGTTTTACAGCCCTCATCACCATCTCCCACACAGAGTTTCTTTCAAGTGGTAAAGATGAAGCTTTTCTGCTTCTCACGTTGGTCCTGCTGCTTTGCTAATATTCACGTTCCTGCACTCTGACTTCCACTAATTAAACTACTAATTAATAACCTGATGAATTTCAACGAAGGCAAATGTAGAGTGCTGCACGTGGGGAGGAATAACCCACTGCACCAGGACAGGTTGGGGGGGGACCTGATGGAAAGCAGCTCTGAGGAGAAAGACCTGGGAGTTCTTGTGGACAACAGGATGACCATGAGCCAGCAATGGGCCCTGGTGGCCAAGAAGGCCAAGGGCATCCTGGGGGGCATCAGGAAGAGTGTGAGCAGCAGGTGGAGGGAGGTCATCCTGCCCCTCTGCTCTGCCCTGGGGAGGCCCCAGCTGGAGCACTGGGTCCAGTTCTGGGCTCCCCAGTTCCAGAAGGACAGGGAACTGCTGGAGAGGGGACAGCAGAGGACCACAAAATGATTATGGACCTGGAGCATCTCCCTTACTGGGAGGCTGAGGGAGGCTCCCTTACGGGGACAGCAGAGGACCACAAAATGATTATGTACCTGGAGCATCTCCCTTTCGAGGAAAGGCTGAGGGACTTGGGTCTTTTTAGTCTGTAGAAGAGAAGACTGAGGGGGGATCTAATCAATGCTTAGAAATACTTAAAGGGTGGGTGTCAAGAGGATGGGGACAGTCTTTTTCCAGCGGTGCCCAGGGATAGGATAACAGGAAATGAGCACAAACTTGAGTATAAGAAGTTCCACCTAAACATGAGGAGGAACTTTTTCACTTTGACAATGGCAGAGCCCTGGAAGAGGCTGCCCAGAGAGGTGGTGGAGTCTCCTTCTCAGGAGACATTCCAAACCCACTTGGACACGTCCCTGTGCAACCTGCTCTGTGTGACCCTTCTCTGGCCGGGGGGTTGAACTAGATGATCTCCAAAGGTCCCTTCCAACACCATATCATTCTGTGTTTCTGTGATATTGAAAGGCTCTAAACTACACACAACCCCGTGGCAGCACTCACAATATAACCATTTACATGAAAATCTTGAAGATTGTCAGTGGATGTCTTTGCATAGGCACATTTATGACTCAACTACACACAACCCCGTGGCAGCACTCACAATCTAATCATTTAAATGAAAATCTTGAAGAATGTCAGTGGATGTCTTTGCGTACACACATTTATGACTCGGAGAAAAATGTGACCAACTTTTATGTCTCTCTCTTTGTGCATTATCTCACTTTGCCCATTAAGCCCCGGTCACAAGCAATAAACTTAAGGAAGAGGAACCATGACATTTTATACAGCGCTTCCTTGAGTATAATTGAAGGCAACTTTAACTGCTGGCTCCCTCTGTGAAATTCTTCTTGCCTGCTCCTTAGAAAAGCACGACTGTAAGTGAAATCTCTCACCCCGGCAGGCTGCAAAAAGTTACGTCTGCTGGGTAAGGTTTTAGTTATACTTGCTCAAAAAATACATTTGAAAACTGCTATTTTAGTGTTTTTATAATCGCGGAGTGCTCAATAAAATGCAAAATGGCATCCACGTGCCCATTCTGCTCCAGCATGTACCTTCCTTGCTTCCATTCTTACTATGTTTGAACAAATAAAATAAAATTAAAAATTTCCATTCTTACTATGTTTGAACAAATAAAATAAAATAAAAAAACCCATTAAGCTCCTTTAAAGCAGAACACAGATTCTGTGTTATCATCTAGGGTGATAAATTCAAAGAAATAAGTGTGATGCATTTTGTGGAAAGAAAAAGCCAAGCCACAAGTGTCTGCTGTGTAATCACCAGAAGAACCATAGAATTGTTTGGGTTGGAGGGGACCTTAAATATCACCCAGTTCCAACCCCTCTGCCCTGGGCAGAGACACCTCCCATGAAACCTGGGTGCTCAAAGCCCCATCCAGCCTGACCTTGAACCCCTCCAGGGATGGAGCAGCCACAGCTTCTCTGGGCAACCTGTTCCAGTGTCTCTTCACCCTCACAGTGACCAAGTTCTTCCTGAGATCTCATCTAAATCTCCCCTC